CAAATAAGATTATCGATGATAGTTTGTTAGAGAAAAATCATATTTGTAAAAAAATATATAAGTAAATCCGGAATGAAAGAGAAAGTCAGTTTCTTTAATCAGCTTTATTATAAGTGGTTAAGCAAAAATGTTATAAATCTTTTTTTTTATGTTCACAGTGAATTAATTTTGTTTTATAGTTTTTCATGTTCATTTATATTTGTGAAAAATATAAAAGTAAATACGGAATGAAAGAGAAAGCCAATTCTTTAATAAGTTTTATTATAAGTCGTTTTGCAAAAATGTTCTAAATCTTATTTTTTATGTTCACAGTGATCTAATTCTATTTTATATTTTTTCATGTTCATTCATATTTGTGAATATTTGTGAAAAATATAAAAATAAACATGGAATGAAGGAGAAAGCCAGTTTCTTTAATTAGTTCTATTATAAGTGGTTTTGCAAAAATGTTATCAATCTTACTTTTTTAGTGTTCACAATTATCTAATTTTGTTTTTTTACTTTTTCATGTTAGTCATATTTGTGAAAACAATATAAAAATAAACATGGAACGAAGGAGAAAGCCAGTTTCTTCAGTCACTTCTATTATAAGCGAATTTACGAAGATGTTCTCAATCTTAATTTTTTAATATTCACAATGATCTAATTTTGTTTTTTACTTTTGCATATTCAGTTTCGTTTAACGGATTTGTAATAGTTAATACAAATCAGTGTATATAGAGATCATAGTCAAGTTAAAATAATTGAAATGTATGTGAGTCAATTAATTATATTTTATCACGTATAATAAACATTTTAACTAACAAAAAGTCAAATATAAATACAGAAATAAATATAATTAAAGGTATTTATTTTTAATTATTTACAAGTTTTAAAACAATTTCTAACCCCGTATATACACGGTCCTAATCTAGTTTTATATAACAAAGAGATTATAACTGAGAATGTAAGCAAGTGAGAGTCTTAAAGTTGGATCTACACATGACTTTGGCATATAAACACAACGTGTTTAGCTCTTTTTGTGTCAAAAAAAGGAATGGTGTAATTTTTAAGGAATGATAAGGAATATAGTATTTCTTTCCATTCTTTATGGTCATCAGTTACAGCCAAAGTGTCTTATACACATAAAGTACACAAAATATTAATAATTAATCATTAAGATCTTTTCTAGTGATGTTACCATTGGGGTTGCTCTTAGTGTCTTTGAGTTTTAAAAAAAAATCAGCCGATGTCCTAAAGTATTTGGTCTTTTACTTTTGCGTAAAATCTTTCTTTTTCGTTTACAATTTTCCTACTGAGATTATTCAATTACAATATCAATCTTCAACTCATTGTTAACCCGTTGTCACTGGTCATGGTGTTCACATAAAAGAAACCAGAAGTAATATGACGATTATATATGCTCGCTTAACAAAACAAAACCAACATTATACTGCTCGCAGTCATTAAAAGAAAAACTTAAAATGCGTTGGGAAACAAGTTAATATAAAATAGCAAGACATAAACCCTTAGCAGGGCTCTAGTACTCCAAGAACTATATACATTGTTGGATTGGAACCAAAGTCGGAACATAACTGAGAAGAAATGGTAGAGAAAATCTTGTACCATGATGATCCACTTTTATGTATCTATCATCTCCCAACATGTGTAAGAAGTTGTTGAGGAGCTTGTTACTGTAACACACTAACACTTTGTTCTGCTTGGCGCACGGCCAAGTAGCTCATCCAGATAGAAAACGTATATTTGGCTTCTGCTCCGGTACTCTCGATCTTGATCCAAGACATGACTCCGGTGATCTCGATCTTGGATCCCATCCATACGTCTAGTAGACAGAGTTGGTCCTCGCTAACCACTGATATAAAAGAAGGAGGAAGAGATCCATGAGTTTGGAAACTCTCTGTTGAAAAATCAAAACCTAGCAAGGTTTTATGACGTGGCTTATGCGGGCTATAGACAAGCCAATAAGTGTTTCCCTTCACAGATATGCCACGATTCCAACAATGTGGTATGAACCAGTTGTTAGACGCACTAACAACACTCCACGAGTTAGAAATAAAGTCATAGATCTCTGGACCAATAAGACCACTTGTTTCCTTTGACAGACGCCACGATACCAGTAATGTGGTATGAACCAGTTGTTAGGCGCACTAAGAGTCATAGATCTCTGGACCAATAAAATCTCGATTGCAGTATATATAATCACATTGATTTGTCCTCAAACTCAATTCTTCTTGTTCTAGATTATACTATATTTTAATATTGATTGGATTAACCCTTTTGGACACTTCTGTTATGAGTCTTATGACTGGTGTTAATCATTAATCAACACAACAATAACACAAGTGTCTCTTCATAGCTTGACACATTAGTATTTTTAAATTTTTAGGAGATGACACTTCAGCAAAAAAAATCACTAATAAAAACATTTCATTAATACAAATCATCAATTTATTTTAACTTTTAAATTTAAATCCATTAAAAACCCAAATATTTTTTATTGTTAATTTTAGTTCAACAATAACACAAGTGTCTCTCCATAGCTTGACACATCAGCATTTTCAAGTTTTTAGGAGATGACACTTCAGCAAAAAGAATCACCAATAAAAACATTTCATTAATACAAATCATCAATTTATTTTAACTTTTAAATTTAACCCATTAAAAACCCAAATATTTTTTATTGTTAATTTTAGTTTTATTTTTTGGTCAAGCTCAAGCCCAAATAATAACTAACAAAAAAAATTGTTTTATTTTTTGCCAAACCCAAATAATAAATAACAAAAAATAATAAAATTAAATCTTTGTTTTATATTTTTGCCAAACAGAAACTCAAATAATAAATAACAGCAAAAAAAATTAAAATTTCTAACTATGTGTTTGCTTGATAGAGACGTATATAATTGAAGAAAGTGTAGACTCATCATCAACAATACTTCCATAACAACAATGCAAAAAGCGTTATGTTATAAGAAGCTCACACATCAGCAAAAATTTGAACCGATACAAACATAACAATAATACATATTATTAACACACTAATTAAAATCAGTTTACTATTTTGCTGATCGATTAAAAAGCACAAAGTTTACAAAAAAGTGGAGGTCGAAAGCAAATGAGGAGAAACTCAGGCCACCACAACTTGGAGATTCGCATTTCCAGTGGTTACCGAGAACAAATTTTCTTGGGTTTGGCGGGAATAGATAATTTCTAGGTTTTGGTAGAAAAATGTGATTTTCAGTTTGGTAGGAAAACATAATTTCTCGGTTATGGCGGAAAAAAACGAATTCTCGGGTTTGACGGAAAAATGTGAATTTTTGGTTTTGGTGAAAAAAAAAATTTGATTTTGACAAGAAAATACGAGGGAAATGCAACTTTTCAATTTTGACGAAAAATACGATTTCTCGGTTTTGATAAAAAATGCAATTTTTCGGCTTTTGATGGATAATATAATTTTGATTTTCGCAGAAATTTGTGGTTTGACAATTTTGGCAGAAAATGCAATTTCTAGGGTTGATAGAAAAACAAAATTTCTTGATTTTGGTGGGAATAAACAATTTCTTGGTTTTGATGGGAAATACAAATTTTCAGTTTTTGACATATAATTTGATTTTTTTGGTTTTCGAAGGAAAATATGATTTCTTAGTTTTCGCGGAAAACACAATTTTTCAGGAGATAATGCAATTTTTGGTTTTCACGGGAAATTGTATTTTATCGGTTTTGGTAGGAAGGTGTGATTCTGGATTTGACGAGAAAATTAATTTTTTCTTGTTTTGGTGGGAATAGACGATTTCTCGATTTTTGTGGAAAAATAATTTTTTTGGTTTTGATGGAAAAATACTATTTTTTGGTTTTTGCAGGAAGATGAAATATTTTGGTTTTTGTGAAAAAACTTGATTTCTCTGTTTTGACGGGAAAACACAGGTTCTCGCAGGAAAAATGTGATTTTTTGGTTTTTAAGGAAAAATGCAATTTTTTTTGTTTTGGTAGGAAAATGAAATTTCAGGTTTGACGAGAAAATGATTTTTTTTTTGTTTTAGCGGGAATAGACGATTTCTCAGTTTCGTGGGAAAATAAATTTTTTTTGTTTTGTCAGAAAATGCAATTTCTCGGTTTTTGTAAAAAGATAAAATTTATTTGTACTAAGTTTTCAAGTTACAATATGTTTATAGTAACCAAAATTGAATTATTTAACTTCAAGTAAATTAATAATTCAACAGTTCAAATAGAACTTGCTATTTAGTTCTAAAGTCATAGTAATGATTTTGATATGAATGTTATTGATTATAGTTTGTTAGTTTTAGAAACATATGTTTATAATAAAAATTTGATAAATAAATAAATTTTATAATTTATAATAATCATATTAATTAATATTTTTTAAATAGTAATTTACTTTATATAATTTAAAAGGAGGATCAAGTAGCAATTTAGTAGAGAATATAAATTATATTTACTATTAGCATAAAAATACTTAAAAATGTATTATTTTATTCTTACATATACATTTACAGATAGTTAGCTAAACAAATTTGATAGTAGATTATAATTTTAAAAAATAAAAAGATTAATGATATATAATGTTTATTTAGATTTAAAACATATAAATACATAACTTAAGCTAATAAAAAATAAATATAATACTTATTTACATTATAATAAAATAATTTTATTGTATTAAAAATATATAAAAATCTAGAAAAATATCCAGCAGCATAGCGCAGGTAAATATGAAGGAAATCAGCGAGAGAAAATGAAAAGAAAAGATGAATACAACTGGTTTCTCTTTCTGCAACTGTTCCTCCAAGAAATGTGACATAATGCAAACAGTACATGTTCTTTTCCGCATTATTGAGCAAAGGATATGATAAATCCCTTTGCTTGCTCGGAAAAAAAAGGGAAACCCAAAAAAATAATCTCTCTCTCGACTTTCCAGAGAATCAATCCTGTCTTGAAATGATTTTAACACAAACAAAAAACAGACAACCTGTGAGATGGGTGAATCAGTAATGAGTAGTCGGAACCCTGACGGTACTTTTTTCCGGTAAGACATTGTCGGGAAGAATCAACTCGGCCGGAGTTTCACGGACAATGCCAAGCATTGAGTCGTAATCCTCATCCTTGCGTGCATACTTCTTCCTAAGCGCTCTCTCAACCTCGATCTCATCGAACGACTTTGAATTCTCTACGGCGTGAATATGCGCGAGATTGATGTAGTTATCTGCTGAGTTTGAAATATATGCCATCTCTTCTTCTGTTAGCTTTCTCATGAACTTTGCTGGGTTTCCTCCCCACACCTGCCACATGAATTCATAACTTGTAGATATCTCCTTGCATATGTATATTCTCAATTTGATAGCAACATAAGAAACCCATTTAATTTCTCAGCAAACAAATGGAAACGCAAGAAACTCTATTACTCCACTCACTCTGGTTTCAGATAGGAGAAGAAATGCAACGGAGGCAAAAGGTGGTTTCCAGATTTAAACAAGCATTAGCAGAGCATTTCAGTAAGCAACTATGTGTTAAGCAAAGACACAGAGGGTCTACTTAAAGAAGTTCAGCTAGTTAAGCATCAGCTACAGGTCTTCTATAACTACCCTAGGATTGAATGCAGCAGATTATATGGTGCTGCTTGGTTAGCTAGCAGTAGTGAGGGCTCGGTTTAGGGAATTTTAGGCTTGGAGCAGCTTCTGGCTTCTTGATAACAAAACCTAGGGTTCTTGATACCTTTAATTATCTGGTTGTACGTCAATCTAGAGAGTAATGAAGCAGTTTCCGATTCCAAATCTTATCACAAACCAAGTACAAAGTAAACCACAAAAGAAAAAGTGAAGAGAAAGAAACCTCTCCAGAAGGAATTCGCGTGTTCTGTTTCACAAGGGAACCAGCAGCAACCATGGCATGCTTCTCAACCACCACACCATCGAGTAGTGTAGCTCCCATACCAACAAAGGACTCGTCTTCAACAGTACAACCATGTATGACAGCACTATGACCTGCTCGGTTTCATTATACAGACAAGATATATAAGTAACAATCATGCAAGGCAAAATAAATCAGATATTGTAAAACTGAAAAAGTCACTTTTAAGGTTTACCTACTGTAACATTGTCCCCAATTATAGTGGGTAGAACCTTCCCACTTAGGTTGGTTTTTGCAACATGTACAAGAGAATTGTCCTGGATATTCGTCCCGGATCCAACACTGATGTTATTCACATCACCTGCACAAGTCACAACACCGATATTGTCCACTGATCTGTACACGATCACATATACAATGAGGTTTACAGAGAATTCATGACATTTCATCAACAGTGCACTAAATCTAGAACCAAGGATATCCGGTAGAAACTAGAAACCATCAAATATGATCAGGACGGTAACCAATAACAGAGTGATACAAGATTATACGGTAAAGGAAACTTCATTTCCTCTAACTAGTCGAATGAAAAGGCCAATACACACAAGAACTATGCAAAAGACAATCAAACGAACTAACATATTTGTATTATGATTAAATCAAGCAGTTAGCTTTTTCTTAAAACTAACAGTTGAGGAAAACAGAACACTAAATTGTGACTAAAGTGCACCAGCTTGCACTGTATATAGCTGAAAATCTGATACTTGGTTTCAATTAAATCTTGAAAATCTTTGTTTTAAGTCTTAAGACTTGTATTATTCCCATTTTCTAGGCTTTTACATAGCGAAAAAATCAAGAAACCTAGCTAGTGTGCACGAGCTTGCCTAGTAAAATGCTGCAAGTTTAATACTTCGTTTGACCCAAAACGCCAATTAATCTCGAAATTCTTGTTTCAAATTCCATTTCCATTTTCTAGAATGTAACCAAACCCCTTTAGGTAGTGAGAAAAATCAAAGGCTCACCTCGAAGAACACACCCATACCAAATGGACGAGCCTTTCCCGATCTGAACATCACCAATAACAGAGGCACTCGGAGCCACGAATACATCCTTATCCACCAATGGAGATTTATCAAACACATTCATCAACGTCCGATGCCTCGATACTGAAAAACAAAAACACCGAGCCCGATCAGACCAGCAATTTCTCCAATCGGAGTTTTCAATCCAGCCATAAACACCGAGAATCACATCAATATCAACAGATTTTTTGCTGGCGAAATCACAAATTAGAGATTACAGATTGGATCTAGGGTTCAATCTGGCTTACGATGTTCATGGAAGTAGGGGCTCCCTTGAAGACGAGAGCCGACGCGATCAAGAGCTTGCCCAGTCCCACGGATCCAGTTGCCCACTGTGTAAATTGCTCGTCCCAAGGTTCCCATTTTCGATTACCAAAGACAACGATTCTCTTGAAATGAGCTTTGTGAGTCGCTCTTGAGGTTTATGGAGGCGTTTTGGGGCTAAAGTGATGAAATGGATTTTGCTCAAGTGAATTTTTGTTTTGTTGAACCAAACCGAATCGATGTGGAACCGAAGCGAAATTTATTAAATGTGTAATCGAACCAAACCTTACCTGAACCGTACATTAAGGTTTAAACCAAATACGTAAATCGAATCGAATCTGAAGAACAGAATCCTCAACTTTTAACCGAACCGAACAAACCAACATTTATTAATCTTCTTCTCTCTCGCGATTCGCGTCATTATCTGCGTCGCTGGACGCTTGAATCGTCAAATCGGCGACGATAACAATGTCGACGCTTCATACGACGGGGCTCAATCTATCTCATCATCTTTCTCTAAGAACCCACCATCTCAATCTCATATCTTGTTCTACTGATTCGCCTACTCCTTCAATCTCGCGGAAGGTACCCACACTTATCCTCCGGTTTGTATCGGACCTTGTTTTCCGTAATATTAAATTTGTTCCTGTTCTGATTTCGTATCTAGTTGATCAAGGACTCGAAGCTCTCTGGAGATTTCAGTCGAAAGATCAAATTCGTAGACTACGCTCCAGTAATCGAAAGCTTAAGCAAGAGAAGCCTGCCTGATGTAGCTCATGAGGTTTTTCTCCAGATGAAATCAGAAAACTTGCTGCCTAACTATAGAACCCTCTCCGCTCTTATGCTCTGCTTTGCTGAAAACGGGTCTGTTCTTCAAGCACGAACGATCTGGGAAGAAATCTTAAACAGCTCTTTCGTACCTAATCTCTTTCTCATCTCAAAGCTCATCTCTGCTTATGAGAAGATCGGTTGTTTCGTAGAAGTCACCAAAATCACAAAGGACATATCTGCAAGGCACTCTCATCTTCTTCCCATGGCATCATCACTTGCAATCTCCTGTTTCGGGAAGAACGGGGAGTTGAAATTGATGGAGGATACTCTAGAGGAACTTGATTCAAAGGAGATCTCTTTAGATTCCACCACTGCTAATGCGATTCTCGGATACTATAGCTCTTTTGGTACATTGGAGAAGATGGAGCACGCTTATTCCCGGCTTAGCAAGTCAGGGATTGTGACAGATGAAGAAGGAGTAAGAGCTTTGTTGTTAGCATACTTGAAACAGAGGAAGTTTTATCGTCTACGCGAGTTTGTTTCAGACGTTGGTCTAGGTAGAAGAGATCTTGGAAATGGAAACCTCTTGTGGAACTCTGTATTACTGTCTTATGCAGCTGACTTCAAGATGAAGAGCTTGCAGAGAGGATTCATCGAGATGCTTGACGCGGGCTTCTCTCCTGACCTTACCACTTTCAACATCCGTGCCATTGCGTTTTCGAGGATGGCTCTCTTCTGGGATCTTCATCTCACTCTAGAGCATATGAGGCGTTTGAACATTGTTCCGGATCTTGTGACTTTCGGATGTGTGGTTGATGGATACACTGATAAGCGGCTAGCGAGGAACTCGGAGTTTGTGTACAACCGAATGAACTTGGACGATCCTCCTGTGGTTTTAACTGATACACTTGTGTTTGAAGTGCTGGGAAAAGGGGATTTTCATCTTAGCTCTGAAGCTGTTTTGGAGTTCGGTCAACGGAGAAACTGGACGTATAGAAAGCTGATTGGAGTTTATCTCAAGAAAAAGCTTCGGAGAGATCAGATTTTCTGGAATTACTAAGCATCTGCTTTGTTTGGTATCACAATCCGCGTGATAAAACGTATCAAATGCTTGAAAACACTTGAGGTTAGAGAGTTATCTCGCTACTAGATTTTGTTAAATGTTGTATATTCATGTATATAGTGTGGTGTGGTGTTAGTTTAGCATGCTCTAAAGCACACTTACTGGTTACAACTCTATTCTTTTAGCAATGTATGTCCGTAATTTTGTGTGTTGAAACCTTTTTGTGTCTTTTATTGGTTCAAAAGTCATAAGCTTTTCTTGTCTCTTTGGGTTTTCGCAGCTCAGACTTGTCAAACCAGATCTCTGATCTTTGATATTTTGGTCTGCTCACCACTACGTTCAGCTATAAAAGATGAGCAATGTTCGTTAAATGAAGATTTGTCAAGAGTAAAGTCACAAGACAGATTGTTCTGGTTTGGATTCTTGGTGCAAAACCCTTTGTTTATAATTTTTCGTTGACCGTGGTCAGTTTTTAGCAGAAAGTCATAAAGGTGCCTTGAGGCTTTGATACAAGAAACAACTCGTATGTGACCACCAAAACTTCTGTTTAGTACTATATGTTAATATTACTTCTGTTAAAGTGTTTCTATCAAATCTGATCCACTTCTGATTTTTCTATAATGCAAATAATGAGAGGCTGTTACAAACCGAGGAAGTGTGGAAGGGAAAGAGCTCGAGTTCTACATGAAGAAACTACAAAAGAAGAAAGGCAAGAATGTGGATGCTGGTTAGTAACATTTTTGTAGACGTTTCATTCAATATGTTTGTATCAAAATGAAAAAAAAAGTCATTAGCATTTATGACTTTCTGCTATTAAATGAAGAGGTAAACAATTTCTATTTCTATTTTATATCTGATATAGAGCGGTGGGAAAGCTAGGGTTTCGGAAGTGCAAGATGCCATGATGACTGATATCGGAGATCGATCGAGACCTCCAGGGGATCCGCCAGATGGAGTAGAGTCGTGGGCTATGAAGGTAAGGGGTACGAACGTTGGGGATGCCGGTACCGGAGAGTTTGATGGATGATGAGTTTGTGGCCGCGAGAGTTAGTGTGGAGTTCCCAGAAAGGGAAGAGGGTGAACCGGTGATTACAATAGGGAAGGAGGTGTTGGATGTGATGAATGGTATGTGGCAAAAATGCATGATAGTCAAGGTGTTAGGGCGGAACATTGTAATCTCGGTATTGAATCGGAAGTTGAAAGAGATGTGGCAGTCTCAAGGCGCTATGCATGTGATGGATCTTCCCTGTCAATTCTTCATCATTCGCTTTGAGAGGGAGGAGGAATATATGGCGGCGTTGATTGGTGGTCCGTGGAGAATGTTTGGTAGCTACTTAATGGTGCAAGCATGGTCTCCAGAGTTTGACCCACTACGGAATGAGATTGTCACGACTCCGGTTTGGGTGCGCTTGACGAATCTACCGGTGAAATTTTACCACAAATCCATTCTTATGGGGATTGCCCGTGGATTGGGCGCGCCGGTTAAAGTGGATCTAACGACTTTGAAATTTGAGCGGGCAAGGTTTGCAAGAGTATGTGTGGAAGTAAACATAACTAAACCCCTCAAAGGATCGATTCAGGTTAACGGGGAGAGATACTTCGTTGCATATGAGGGGTTGACAAATATATGCTCAAATTGTGGGATGTATGGGCATCTAATTCACTCGTTTCCGAAGTTAGCAAAGACACTGAAAGTGGCAGTCCCAACGCCGAGGGAGATCGTGCCATTGGGAGGAAGCCAACAGGGAGAGGAGGGGTTTATGGTGGCGAGGAAACCAATCAGAAGATCAGAAACACCATTGTCGTCGGTCGTTTTTGCGGCAGGGCCTTCTGGAGGAAGTTTATGAAAGAATCTAAATGCAATCTCGAAAAATAAGGGAAGAGGGAATATTCAGATTGCTAATAGATTTGGGGAGTTGGATAAGAAAACGGAAATCTCGGACGACAGGCCAGGGGATTATGGTGTAGAGGCAAATAAAGAAAATGTGAATACCCTGAATATTCAGGGGAAAGAGAGAGGAAAGGGGCACATGAATGAGGGCTCGCTTGTAGGGAAGTTTGAAATCACAAAGATTGGGCCCAAGAACGGGCTGAAGGACAAACGGGCTGGTGTGAGGAAGACAGGAGCAACAATTAATAGTAAAACAAAATTTACCCCAAGCAGGCCCATGAGAGGCATCGTCTTTGGCCCAACAAAAGGGGAAATAGAGCTATCGGAATCTGGTAAACGACTCCGAGTGGAGACGGGGAATGCAGGCAGATCTGGGGGTGCATTTGAAAATGAATCGGGAGAAGTCATGGAGGGGCACGAATTGGTGGTGTTTCAGGAGAGTGGAGGAGGTGAGCAGACTCCCAAGGGTACAGGGGATGAGAGTACACACAAAGGAACACCAGGGGATGTACAGATGGACTTGCGACCGTCGGATGATACGATGGGGTCAAGGGGGGTTTGACCGTACGCCTCGGTATTCCGACTGACACTAAGCTGGAAGATTGAAATGAATTGCTTATTATGGAATTGTCGGGGGCCAATAAACCTAACTTCTGAAAATCAATTCGTTACATGCTGAAGAAATGGATAGTGGAGGTGCTAGCGTTGTTCGAAACTCACGCGGAAAGCGACAGGGCAAGCCGTATTTGCCGAGGGTTGGGGGTTTAAGAATTCTTTTAAAGTGGATGCTGTGGGACAAAGCGGTGGTATATGGTTGCTGTGAAAATCGGAGATTGGAGAAGTGATTGTATTAGAGATGGCAGAGCAGTATATATACGGTCGAGTGAGGGAAGGAGCAGAGGAGACCCACTTGATTGTAGTTTACGCGGCTCCGTCGGTTAGTATAAGAAGTGGATTATAGAATCAACTGAAGCGGATCATTCAGACGATTAATGGTCCATTGATTGTAGAAGGGGATTTCAATACTATCGTTCGTCCGGATGAGCGTACAGGCGGGAATGGCAGACTATCTATGGACTCCTTGGCGTTCGGTGAGTGGATGAATGAACTCTCCCTCATTGATATGGGATTTTCGGGGAGTAAATACACGTGGAGGAGAGGTCGAGTGGAGCAGACTTATATCACAAAGAGACTTGATAGAGTTTTATGCAATGCACATTCACGATTAAAGTGGCAGGAAGCTATGGTCCTCCACTTACCGTTCCTGTCATCCGATCATGTGCCTTTGTATATCACACTGGTGCCAGAAACACAGGGTAACGGGAGAAGAAGGCCCTTTCGCTTTGAGGCGACATGGTTGAAACATGATGGGTTCAGGGAAATGCTATCAGCCTCTTGGAACACGTCAATTAGGACACCAGAGGCTCTGTGTAGTCTGAAAGACACACTCTGGAGATGGAACCGAGAAGTCTTTGGAGATGTTCAAACACGAAAGGAGAAACTGGCTCAAGAAGTCAAAGAGGTTCAAGATCTCCTGGATGCAAATCTAACTGATGATCTTTTACAAAAAGAGGCTGAGCTACTCAGGGAGTTGATAAAGTGTTGGAGCAGGAAGAGTTGATTTGGTACCAAAAATCCAGAGAGAAGTGGATCGTGTTACGAGACAGGAACACTAGTATTACCATACCTCCACGATAGTGAGACGGAGGAGAAATAGAATTGAGATGCTTAAGGATGATGAGGGAAGATGGATATCACAAGCCTCTGAGCTGGAGACACTAGCCATTGAATACTATAAAAGACTTTACTCTATGCAGGACGTGGATCCAAACGTCGAGCAGTTACCGTTGGAAGGTTTCCCGACTCTCACAAGGGAGGAAGTGACAAGCTTGAATAAACCTTTTTCGACAGTGGAAGTAGAGGAGTCAGTGAGGAGCATGGGGAAACATAAAGCTCCAGGGCCTGACGGTTTTCAACCAGTGTTTTACCAAGGATGTTGGGACATAGTAGGGACATCGGTAACACAGTTTGTACTGGATTTCTTCAGGTCAGGAATCTTACCGAAGGGGGCCAATGACGCGATTGTTGTGCTGATAGCAAAAGTCATTAAGCCGGAGAAGATAACACAATTTCGACCCATTAGCCTATGTAATGTGTTATTCAAAACTATTACAAAGGTAATGGTGATAAGACTAAAGCGAGTGATGCCAAAGTTGATTGGGCCGGCACAAGCGAGTTTCATACCAGGAAGAATGAGCACGGATAACATCGTAGTAGTTCAGGAGGCAGTTCATTCGATGAGAAGGAAGAAAGGGACGGCGGGTTGGATGCTCTTGAAACTCGACCTAGAGAAAGCTTATGATAGAATCCGTTGGGACTTCCTGGAGGATACACTTCGTGCGGTGAAACTACCTGAAACCTGGATTGGGTGGATCCTGCAGTGTGTTAAGGGACCTTTGATGAGTTTACTATGGAATGGAGAGAGGACATAAGAGTTTACTCCGCAGCGGGGACTGAGACAAGGGGACCCTCTGTCGCCATATTTATGTGTCCTCTGCATTGAGAGACTGTGTTACTTATTACATAATGCTATAGACCGGAGGGAATGGAGACCAATCAACATCTCTCGAGGAGGCCCCAAACTCTCCCATATATGCTTTGCGGATGATCTGATCCTATTTGCAGAGGCATCTGTGGCTCAAATCCGGGTGATTCGAAGGGTGTTGGAGAAGTTATGTACTGCTTCGGGTCAGAAAGTGAGTTTAGAGAAATCAAAGATTTATTTCCCGGGCAACGTCAGTCGAGAGCTTGGGAAATTGATAAGTGACGAGAGTGGTATTGGAGCAACACATGATTTGGGGAAGTACTTGGGCATGCCAGTGCTGCAAAAACGAATCAACAAAGATACATTTCGAGATGTTTTGGAGAAGATCTCGTCCAGATTGGCAGGATGGAAGGGACATATGTTAAGCTTTGCGGGCTGGGTAACTCTCACTAAGTCAGTACTCTCATCTATCCTGGTTCACTCCATGAGTACGATCGCTTTGCCAACATCAACACTAGGGGCGCTTGATAAAATCTCGAGAGCCTTCTTGTAGGGAGATTCTATTGAACAGAGGAAACAACACTTACTTTCCTGGAAGAAGATATGCACCCCAAAAGGAGGTGGGGGTTTAGGGATTCGCTGTGCGAAAGATATGAACAAAGCTCTGCTGGCGAAGTTGGGTTGGCGGTTAATTCACGATGATGGAAGTCTCTGGGCCAAGGTCCTGAGAGGAAAGTACAAAGTTACAGAAGGGAGGGAGTCGTCATAGACCTGTGTTCAAAGTAACGGATCTGCTACATGGAAGAGTATAGTGATGAGAATGAAAGAAGTGGTTATCCCAGGATTAGGATGGGTACTTGGTGATGGGAAGAGAATCAACTTTTGGAAGGATAAATGGCTCATGCAGGTACCACTCTCGGAGATGGCCATAATAGATGTTCCCGATACACAGTTGATGATGAAAGTCTGTGATCTTTGGAGGAATGGTATCGGGTGGCGACTACACCAGATCACTCCTTATATATCAAACCACATCCGGTTACAGCTAGCGGCAGTGGTGCTGGACGATGTGACAAGAGCAAGAGACAGAAGGTCTTGGGTGCCGGCACAGGACGGGAACTTCTCGGTAAAATCAGCTTATGCTTCCATTACCAAAAAGGACTATCCAGGACCGAACATGAGATCTCTTTTTTACCGCGTTTGGCATGTAATTGTGCCGGAGAGAGTGAGACTGTTTCTCTGGTTAGTAGTTCATCAGGTTATTATGACGAACGTGGAGCGCCAACGACGTCACCTGAGTGATACTGGTGTTTTTCAAGTGTGCAAAGGGGCTGACGAAACGATTATTCATGTGCTGCGAGACTGTCCGGCAATGCAAGGCATATGGAGCAAGAATGTACCCGTAAGGAAGAGGCATATATTTTTTCAGAAATCCCTGCTGGAGTGGCTTTACGAGAATATGGGGGATGAGTCTGAAGTAAATGGGAGCGGCTGGTCAACAACGTTTGGCATGGCTGTCTGGTGGGGATGGAAATGGCGCTGTGGCAATCTCTTTGGTACTACTGGAAAGTGTCGGGACCGAGTTCGTTTTATTCAAGATATTGCTAAGGAGGTGACAAGCGCACATTATAAGTTGAAGGGTAATACGAAAGGGCCCGACATAGTGGAGAGGATGATAGCGTGGTTACCACCAGGTGGATGATGGATGCGAATGAATACAAATGGTGCATCTTGAGGAAACCCTGGTCTAGCAGCAGCGGGCGGAGCTCTCAGAGGTGCGAATGGGGACTGGCGTGGAGGATTTGCTCTGAATGTTGGTGTTTGATCGGCACCATTGGCTGAGTTGTGGGGCGTTTATTACGGGCTCTACACAGAATGGGAGAAACGAGTTACCAGCCTGGAAGTTGAGGTAGACTCGGAGATTGTGGTAGCTTTTTTACGATCAGGGATCAGTGACACTCATCATCTGTCCTTCTTGGTACGTTTGTGCTATGGCTTTATTTCGAGGAACTGGCTAGTTCGGATTACACACGTGTATCGAGAAGCTAATCGTCTGGCGGATGGTTTAGCTAATTACGCATTTTCTTTACCTTTTGGATTTCATAGTTTTGATTTGCCACCTACTGAGGTTTTGTCAATCCTGACGGATGATGTAAACGGCTTTGCACAAGCCAGATATGTACGTTCGTGAGGTGCTTTTGAGTTAAATAAACAGACATCTCTTTCCTCATACCAAAAAAAAAAAAAACAATTTCTATTTTATCAGTCTTCAATATATTTACATAAATCTCACTGTCTACTTTAATCCTAGCTTCTCATAATATAAACTCACATATCGTTCCCATCTAATTAAATTTGTGAATGACTCCATCATCAAACTTATGAAAGTAAAAGGCCTTTTTTTTTAGTTACAATGGAAATGTTTAGATTTATACTACTACTACTGTACTTGGTAATTCTCAAAAAGGCTCTAACTTTAACTTTATAGTTAAACTAGTTGGTGATCCGCGCTACGCGCGGCTATGTGAATTATTTTTATACATTTTTTGGTATTATACTTGTTGTATCGTATATCCTTGAAAATTTTAAGATGAATTTCTATTTCTCACCTGTACATGACTCGAATTTTCTATTTTTTTGAAACTCTAGTTTGTGATCTACCCAACACAGCGAATTTGATAATCATTTTATGTAATTTTTATATTATATTTATTGTATCATATAGCTCTGAAGATTTTATGATTTGTTTATTATTTTTATATTGTGTTTGTTATCTATTCAAAATTATTTGGTTAATTCAAACAAATAAGAAAATAGAACATATATGATATTAAATATCTGAAATATCCATTTGAGAGTTAAAATTCTTAAAATTATATAATGTTCTAAAATTTCTTCGATTTTTCTGAATTTTCCCAAAATATTTATTATGAAGTTGACTTTCATCCAAATTATTGAGAATTTGTCAATAGATTTTAAATAATGAAATTTCTCGAACCTGTCTCGTTACCCAAATTATCTATTCTATTTTTATTGGATTTTCTTTGAAAATCGTTTTCCGTCTTTTTAATTACTAATTTCTATCACACACTCGTAAATTTCCACATTGAATTTTGAAATACCCAAAGCTAATGTATATCATTATTTTTAGTTTTTATTTTATTTTGGAATTTGATGATTTTTTATTTTCTAACAACACATTATAGTTTAACTTTTTATGTTTGCTATTTTTATATTGAACGTTAATATTAGTTTTTATTGTTTTCTGTCTTTCTAATTGTCAATGCTCTTTAGACACTCGTAAATTTCCGCATTGAATCTTGAAATAAACAGAACTAATATATATCATTATTTATTAGTTTTTGATATTGTATTTTTTTTTATGACAACATATTGTAATTGTCTTTTTTATGTTTCCTACTTTTTATATTGAATGTTAATACTATTTTTTTATATATTTTTCGTCTTTCTAATAACCAATTCCCGTAACATACTCGTAAATTTCCGCCTTGAATCTTGATTTACTCATAGCTAATATATATCATTATTTTTTATAGTACTTTGTTGATTTCTTTTATTTTCTGACAACACATTGTTTGTATTTTTATGTTTGCTATTTTTATATTGAATGTTAATTTTTTTATTTTTTAATTACCAATTCCCGTCACACACTTGTAAATTCCCATTTTGAATCATGAAATACTCAGAGCTATTGTATACCTTATTTTTTGTTTTATTATTTTGTATTTTGTTGATTTTTATTTTCTGATAACACATTACAATTGTCGTTTTATGTTTGTTATTTTTTATATTAATGTTAATTTTTATTTTTTTCCGTTTTTCTTATTACCAATTCCCATCTCATACTCGTAAATTTCTACAGTAAATTTTGAAATACCCAGAACTAATGTATACAATTATTTTTTGTGTTATTTTCTCTTATTTTCTGACAACATATTATAATTGTTTTTTATATTGAATGCTAATATTTTGTGTATTATAAATATTTTGCTCTTTTTATATTGAATGTTAAGTTATTTTGCATCTTAAAAGAAATTAAATGAAATTAATTAATGAAGTGGTTGTTGATGTGGCAGCACCAAAAGAGAGAAAAACTTATTTCATATGTTTGCTATTTTTTATATTAAATTTTAATATTATTTTTTATTATTTTCTGTTTTTCTAGTTACCAATTCTCGTCACACACTCGTAAAGTTTCGTTTTCAATCATAAAATACTTAGAGCTAATGTATATTATTATTTTTTTGTTTTGTTATTTTATATTTGGTTGGTTTTTATTTTCTGACAATATATTATAATTGTGTTTTTATGTTTGTTATTTTTTATATTGAATGTTAATGTTAATTTATATTTTTTCGTCTTTTTAATTACCAATTCCATCATACACTTGAAGAAATCAGCTTTGAATATTAAATATTTAGAGCTAATGTATGTAATTATTTTTTAGTTTTATTTTATTTTATTTTCTGACAACATATTATAATTGTTTATTTATATTTGTAATTTTATATTGAATATTAATATTTTGTGTATTATAATTACCTTTGAATATTTACTATTTTTTTATATTGAATGTTAATGTTATTTTGTGTTTTAAAAAAATTTAAATAAAAAATAATTAATGAAGGGATTGATGAAGTGGCAGCACTAAAAGAGAGAAAAACTTACTTTTATATATATAGATAAACCATCCATTAGTTTTTGTTGACCAAAAAAAAAACAACCATTAGATTCCTAAACCAATTACTTTACGCAAAAAAAAAACAGAAAATTACCTTTTCAAATTTCTGATAAGTGTTAAATGTATAAGTGTTTTGAAAATCCAGTTGGAATTAACTCTCCTAAAGTAAATTCGTAATCGTAACCAAATAATTTTCCAAAAAAGAGATTTAAATTTAAACTTAAAAAGATCCTATTTTAAGTAATTTACTAAATTCAATTGAAAGGCATGGCCCGCGCGTAGTGCTTTTTGTCATTAAAATTTTTTTTAAAAAAAACGGAACTCTCTCCGTCTCCTCTTTTCCTCTTTCTCCTCGAATCTATTGCAGTTATCGTCGTCGTCCTCCTCCTCGTCGGAATCGAAGCTAACGACGGCGACGGTTACGACATCGGAGGGGTGGTGGTGGTGGTGATTCTATCTGCATTCGAGGAGCTTTTAGAATTTCTCAATTCGAGACGAGCTTTTTTCGCTAAAATCTCGTCATCGGAATTCACCCATTTCTTATCCCCGATTTTCCTCCACCTTCTTTCTCTGCGCATAATCGTGCTTCCCTATGGATTTGTCGCATTTGTTGGTACATTAATCCTTTCTCTCTCGTATCTCGATATTCGTTTTATTTTATTTTACCTTTCTCGGGGCTCTACACGATAACGCCGGAGAAGCCGGATCCATGCCCTTTTCATGATTTGTTTTTTCCTCCAACTTTTTCTTTGTTTTGTTTTTTTCAAATTCCTTCTCTCCAATTTCATTCGCATCTCTAGAAATTGGGTATTTTTACTTTACTGATTCATGACTTCAACATTCTCAATCTAATTGAAAGATTCTTCGATGAATTCGTATGAGAATGGATTAAACTGAAACCATTTTTCTCCTTTTCCCTTTGTTGAAGCTCGTGAATTTGCCGTAACGGAGCCGGAAAATCTCTGGGGACAGACGGCAAAAAACTCAGGTACAAATTAGGGTTTTTTCCTTTGTATGATTTTGATTGGTTCCTCCATAGATTTTAAACCCAAATGAAAAATTACAGCAGAAGGTGATTTTGTAGCAATGTCATTCAAGAAGATAGTGCGTGAGCTAAGAGGAAAACGCAATGAGAATTACAATAATCGTGCCATTGGTCGTCGAGGGAGATCACACATTGCTCCAGAAGGATCTGCGTCTTCTTCTCCATGGACTGATGAGTATTTGAACCAGAGCATTTGGGTTGATTTGCCTCCAGAGTTACTTCTAGACATAATCCATCGAATCGAGTCTGAACAGACTTCATGGCCGGCGAGGAGAGACGTCGTTGCTTGCGCCTCCGTTTGTAGGTCATGGAGGGAGATGACTAAAGAAGTCGTTAAAGTCCCAGAGCTCTCTGGTTTGCTCACATTTCCGATTTCCTTGAAGCAGGTTTTTACTCTTTTTGTAGACACTCTTCTTTTATCAGAAATATTTGAGAATCAATGAAAGTGATGAACTGAGATAACATTGGATTCTTGAACTCAGCCTGGTCCTAGAGATGCCCCGATTCAATGCTTTATCAAACGAGAAAGAGCTACCGGAATCTACTGTCTCTATCTCGGTCTAAGCCCTGGTTAGTTTTACTATAGTTCACCTCTTTATGAATTGAGTTTTGGGTTTTTGAGTTTATCATCTTCTTCGTCTACATTTACCCATTTGCAGCTCTTTCCGGCGACAAGAGCAAGCTTTTGCTATCGGCGAAGAAAGTCAGGAGAGCGACTGGTGCGGAGTTTGTTGTATCGTTATCCGGAAATGACTTCTCGAGAAGTAGCAGTAATTACATAGGGAAGCTGAGGTAATGTATGTGAAGTCGCATTCATCGTTTTCACATCGCCATGAGAGTTTATAAGGTTTTTGTTGTGTGAACAGATCTAATTTCCTTGGAACTAAGTTCACAGTCTACGAAAATCAACCTCCTCCGGTTGATTCGGAGAGATCATCCAACCGGAAACTTCCACCGTCGATGCGTGTGTCTCCATGGGTATCATCATCTACTCATAGTTACAGCATAGCTTCAATCTTGTATGAGCTGAATGTTCTTAGAACCAGAGGTCCAAGGAGAATGCAATGTATCATGAATAGTATACCCGTTTCTTCGATTCAAGAAGGCGGTCAAGTTCATTCTCGGACCGAGTTCACAAACCGAGGAAAGAAGCAGCAGCAGCAGAAGAAGAGGAAGCCGCTGATGGATTTTTGCTCAGGGAGCTCTGAAGGAGAATCCGTTGTTAAGGAGGAGCCATTAGTGCTGAAGAACAAGTCGCCGAGATGGCACGAGCAGCTTCAATGCTGGTGTTTGAACTTCAAAGGACGAGTCACGGTCGCGTCAGTGAAAAATTTCCAGCTAGTTGCAGCTGCTGGAGAAGCAGGGAAGAACATGAACATAATACCAGAAGAGGAACAAGAGAGAGTGATATTACAGTTTGGGAAGATAGGTAAAGACATTTTCACAATGGATTATCGTTATCCGATCTCTGCATTTCAAGCTTTTGCCATTTGTTTAAGCAGCTTTGACACGAAGCCTGTCTGCGAATGAATGAATCAGGAAAAAAAAACATGTCAAAAATATTATATTCTCTGTTGCAGTTGTGGTGTGGTTGGTTAATGAATGTACATACTTTTCCTTCTTGGAGCAAACAAAAATCAGATCTTTTTTTCTTTCCATTAACCTTTTATCAATTTAATATTTTTTAATTAGTAAGTAATTAACTTTTGGTTTAGGCAAGGTATGTCTTAGTCTTTATTTGTAAGCAAAGATCATAACCAACTTCCTTCATTACAAAACACAATTCTCTGTCTCTATCTCTGTTTCGTCTCAACATTAACAAAACATTTAGTGGTAAAGTATAAAGATTAAAGATGAAAGCTTTTGTGAGAGGATTATTAGCAAGAGCTAATTATGAGGTGCCAAAGATTCAGAAAAAGTGGGAGTGGAAGGAATCGGCCGGTTTTGGTGGCGTTACTTCGTCTCCGCCGCCGGAGAAAGGGTTGGAGAATCTGACGGTAGCGGATGTGCTGTTGACAAAGGATACTGACGGTGGAAAAGTTGACATGTGGATCTCCTGCCGTACAAACGACACCGTTTATGATGCCGTTAAGAATGTTAGTTTCTTTCTTTTTCTCCCAATTATTATTTGCTCATCACATTACATCGTTCGCATACGCTTACGAGCACACGTTGGGCCGTTGTGATGTTGAACATGGTAATCCCGAACCGAACAAATTGAAAATAAAATTAAAACTATTGATTTTTTTTTTATATTACCTTACGGGAAACAAAATTAAAAAAAAAATAAACCAAGATCATAAAATTTTAAACAAAAATAAGATAATAGCATTTAGTTCTGGCGTAAATAAAAATAATTCGAGAAATGAATGCGAATCAATTTTTGATAGTTATACAGTGTTCTTTACGTTCGAAACCCAAACAATTCAAAGTGACACCGAACCAAAAATTGAATTGAACACCGTATACGTGTACGTACACTGTACCCATGCAACGAATACACACGCAAACAAGATGTAACGCCCCCGACCTCTCATTCCGGCGAGTCACCCATTCCTCCGTCGGGTTCGTAGGCCCCGCCCCTATCCGACGGCCAGTGCGTTATTTTTCCCGGACCCCAACCTATTTATTTACTGACTCTGCAATCACTACATGATTTTCTCATATTTTGGCCTCACTTACATGGTTTCGGGAATCACTTCTCGAAAGGTCACCCATCCTAGTCCTTCTCCAGCATAAGCACCCTTACACCCATCCTAGTCCTTCTCCAACATAAGCACCCTTAACTGTGGAGTTCTCTTGGGACCAGTGACAGAAAATATAAGTGCACTTTGATGACATAGGTAGCCAAATTAATCCATTTAAATTTATTCAAATGGACCGGGTCCGGGTCGTTACAATTCTCCCCCACTATACGGGAATTCGTCCCCGAATTCTGATCCCGATAGTGTGAGCCTTAACCCACTATACGGGAATTCGTCCCCGAATTCTGATCCCGATAGTGTGAGCCTTAACCCCCAAACCCTAGGACAGTCTCCTGGGACAGAACCAGTTTGACTTCCCAGGCTCTGATACCACTTGTAACGCCCCCGACCGCCCATTCCGGCGAGTCACCCATCCCTCTGTCGGGCTCGTGGGCTCCGCCCCTGTCCGACGGCCAGTGCGTTATTTTTCCCGGACCTCAACCGACTTATTTACTGACCCTGCAATCACCACATGATCTTTCCCCATGTTTTGGTCTCACTTACACGGTTTCGGAAATCACTTCCCGAAAGGTCACCCATCCTAGTCTTTCTCCAGCATAAGCACCCTTAACTGTGGAGTTCTCTTGGGACCAGTGAGCGAAAAGATAAGTGCACTTTAATGACATATGTAGCCAAATTAATCCATTTAAACTTATTCAAATGGGCTGGGCCCGGGTCGTTACACAAGATCTTTTCAAAAAAGTTATATTGATTTTATGTGATCAACTAATTTCAACTTTTTTGAGATGTAAACGTGTTTAAGTAATTTAAGTTGGTCACATTAATTAAGTAGAACATATGTATAATAATTTGTGTTATTACCGTCGTTGTGTTACGGATTCAGTACCACACACAATGCAGTTTGTTGACAAGGAAAAAGTTGATCACAATTTTCGAACTAAAACTCATAGGAGTTGGGGTAGTGTTAGGTCTCGTTGCCTACTCCACGTTTTTCTGTGTCCCTCCCACCTACTATAAGACGTTGTTAAATTCAACATTCGGTGCAATAAATAATACGAAGACGTGTATATATCTGTAGACTGTTATGTCATGAATACACGTATATAACTATATTTTAACAACAGTATGTAATACGGTTTGATTTGGATGACACAAAGAAAACCTTATTACAAACCAATAGGCTATATATTTATTCTGGTCACATGTATTTAATCAAATTCATTCTCGGACCAATGTTTTGGCACGTATCTTTATTTTACCTAAAACTGTATTAGGAATATATAACATTATATATATATATATAAGCAATGTGCCTGTATTAGTATTTCATGTCATGCATATCGAAATACATTTGTCATTGTCAATCGGTTTATTGTTTTGGATATTGCAATATATTTTTTGGAACGAAAAGCAGATGGCAAAGCATAATATTGGATCGTTGGTCGTGTTAAGACCAGGAGACCAACAATGTATCGCAGGTATCGTCACAGAGAGAGGTATAAACTTTGCTAAGTTAGAAATGAGTTAATTATGATCACCCAATATCTTTACCGGTTTAAAATTACATCAAATTAACCAAAAAGAAAGTACTCATGTTATAAACACAATTTCTTAGCTAGGTTCTTTCATTTGTGTGATGTGATATATACTGTATAGGATTAAAAATCGTGTCACCGGAGGAAAATAATTACTGTGAATATATAGGAAATAGCAGTCGAAATTTATATAAGTTAATATGCATCTTAGTGTCTACGCGTCGTATTTTATTATTATTTGATCATCTGTATTTGATGGGTTGATATTTGTGAAACAGACTATATGAAAAAGATCATCGGGGCAGGAAGATCATCAAAAGTTACAAAAGTTGGAGAAGTTATGACCGACGAGGTCAGAATAAACACAAACTAATATTCTTAAGTTAATATTTTGAAAAGTTTCATTTATCCAGATAATTATATAACAAAGCGTTGGGGCTATTTTGGCCAGAGCAAGTTGGTCACTGTTTCGTCTGGGACAAACATAATCAAAGCAATGCAACTTATGTCAGGTAGTTTATTATTTATACTCATATTTTGTATAAGTATCGAATCCAAGATTAAATTAATTATGTTCTGAAAATGATGTAGAGAATCATATAAGGCATGTACCGGTGATTGACGGAAAGATAGTGGGAATGATCTCTATGGTTGATCTAGTAAGAGCCATTGTGGAACATCAAAACGGAGAGCTCAAACGCTTGAATCAATTCATCAAAGGAGACTATTACTAGTTCAATTCCACATAAGAAAGAGAATCGTTGCTTTGACAATACTATCGATAATTATGTAAATACTATCGATAATTATGTAAATACTCACAATGGAGAATGGACTAATTATTTAACAAATAAATTTATTATCCGATCTAAAGAGATTATGAGCATAAGGCCTACGCGAAACTTTTTCGTTACCCAAAATGAAAATACCATTCGTCAAGGTGCATACTATTTTTTGTAGGCTTGTACATAATTTGGTTTACAAAACCCATGAGAAATAATTAAGAAAAAAATCAATCTCAAGCCAGAAAAAAACTTTGACTATAGAAAACAAAAAAAATGAAGAGTTTAAAAAAAAGATGATCGAAAGATATATAAAATTTGTAAATATCAAGAACACTGATTTTTACAAATTAACTCACTCACTAAATTCATACATTGTTCCCTAAAAATCATAGGCTATGATATACATTAAAAATAAAATCATACACTATGTATATATTTATGATTTATAGCGTCGTATTATAATCATACATCATATATGATAAATTAACGATGGATTTGTGATAACAAACTCACAATCGTTGTTGCCTTACAAACTCATTTCTTTCTTTGGGTCTAAATTACCAAACTTAAAATTTTGGTTTAATTTTTTTTAGGTACTATATTTAAAATTATTATAAATATAATATATTTATATAAATTTTCATTTATATAAGAAAAATTAATATATAATGTGTAATTTATCCAATTTTTATTTATAAATTTTTAAAAAACTATTAGGTAAAATAATAACAATGACACCTATCGAATTATCCAACTTTGACGTACATATACATTTGATTTAGAAAAATATAATCTTGCTAAGATTTTGGTATTATTTTCTGTTTTCCATAGAATTTCTATAGTTTTTTTTCTTGAAGGTTCCGTTTATATGTTCAAATATTTAGTTTTTTATTAAAATTCTTATTGATGTTGTGTACCACTGCATATATAATCCACGATTCATGTTGATTCACATTTGATTTTGTTAGGAAGCTGTAATTATCATGCAAAACCATTTTTCTTTCAAGAGTTTTATGTTATATTTTTATTCGGTTTTTATTGTTTTAATTGTTATATCGAGTTGTTGTAGATTTTTTTAAATTGATAATTGATAATGGTTACTTTTTTTCTTAATACATGTTTTGTTAATTGTTAATTTTTTTATTTAACTTTAAAAATTTTAAACCTAATTAACATTTTCTGATTTAATAAATATGTTGATTTGGATCAATCAAACTGAATTTACTTTTTTTGTTGGACATAATTTTTTAAATTAACTTTTAATGTTTTAATTATACTTCATAATTTTTGGTATGATTTAAAAGCTGATGTGGACCAATTAAATCAAGTTTTTTCATCCTAATCATACTTAACATTTTTTTATTTAATGAATATGCTGGTGTGGACCAATCAAATCGATTTTTTTAATCTCATGTGGACGCCCTCAATGAACTATGCCATCAATTTTTATATATTATATGATTGGAGGGTCGGTTGTTACGAACTCTTTTTTCTTTTCCCTTTTGGAGATACTTATCATATTTAAGATATGAAAATATCTTTTTTTTTTTTAACTTTTTCTGATTCCGTAGAAATTTTGTATTATCTATGAATAGTTTCTTTTAATTCATTAGGTCACCGTGGTTCTCCTTGTCTTGATGAGCTTAGGTTATTGCTTGAGAAAACTTTCTAAGAAATGTGCTCATTTCTCTTTTAACAATAAGTCCTCCTCCCTCAGAGCCGTGCATGTAGTGTTGTAAAAAAGGCATTTGCCTCAGGTTCCATAAGTAACTCCCTTTGTTTCATAAAAAGTGTCATTCTGACATTTTCACATAGATTAAGAAAAACTTATAATTGTCTGTTATACTATTTATTTATACACTAAATCATTCTTTCTCTATAATTAATAAGCAAAAATAGTAAGGATAAAACTGACAATTAATTGAAAATTTTGCATTGAAAACCTAAGGTGACACTTATTATGTAACAAAAAAAGAATGCCAAAATGACACTTTTTATGAAACGGAGGAAGTATTATATTTTAGAAGTCTCAAATTATCAAATATTAGATCTAGTAAAGTGGTTAACGTAGCCTTTGATAGGCCGTTTACCCTTTGTTTAAGTTCGAGTATAATAATTGGTTAAGAATTGTTTATTTTTCTACCTAGTTTTGTTAGTTTTAAACTAAAATCTCAACATTTCGAATTATTTTTTTTTTTCTCAAGAGCTTACTATTAACATTTTGATCCATGGTTTTAACATTCGTTCTTCATATCCTATGATTTTTAGTTTTATCAGCACAATTCAGTATTATTTTTGTTAAAGAACATTTAATAAGTTTATAGGTTTTATCTATAAAAGGTTTTAAAACGTTTTTAAAATTTTAGATTTTATCTATTATTTAATGAAAAACGTTTCTTAAATATTTTTAGATTTTATGTATTATTTAATAAAAAATCGCTTGAATTTATATTATTATTATTGATATTATTAAAAAATTTTAATAGAAAACATTTAAACTTCCTCAACCTTCTAAAAACCTAGGCACGGCACTGTCCCCCCTCCCCCTCCTCAGTTTGTCGAGATGATTGCAAATCAGTTCAGCAGACTTTATGAAGTAAAATTGGTTTGATCTCGCAATAAATATCAGTTCGTTGGGAGTGCATTCCCTAATTTCAGCTCTTCGGATCCTTGGTCTATAGAGCGAGAACACATCGTTTCAATGGTCTTTGCTTTAATGGGCCCCTTCACGCAGTCCATTTTTATTTAGGGTTTTCAATAGGTGGAAAAGGCAAAGGTCCTTGGATGACGCGATTTTGTAAATCTTTTCACGCGTCTTCTAAAGAAACCATTGATATTTTTTCTGATTGTTTTTCTTGCTGAAGCTTTTATCCCATCCGTCTTCCTTCATTCAAGATAAAAACATGTAGCTCTTAGTTCCATTACTTAACTATTTCTGCAAAAAAATCTCTTTTACTCTCTGTTTTATTTCAGGATACCATCTGTGATAGTTTCAGGTTTTCCTCCTGTCGTGATTTCTCGACTCATTCAAGAATCTCTTTCTTCTTCAATTCCCATTATTTAATCAACTATGATGAGATCTTCCGACTTAAAGGGCAAGGGTAAGATGGTAGATGGCGATGATACTCCCATAGCCGAGCTTGCCATGCGGTCAAGATCAAATACTGTTTTCATTTCCCCATCGATTTCTGATGAGTCTACGGGTTGCTGCGATGCAATTTCTTTGAACGATCCTGACATAGACTTCAAGATGGAGCTAGAGGGTGCCGATGTATTAGCTCGGGTGAGAGGTTTACCTAAAAAAATTAAGTTGCCAAAGCACAAAGCCGAGATAAAGGACGGTAGAACTCGGATGACCATCGGCAAACTCCAGGAACTCCGACAGAGATGCGGTTTTCCTGACGATGTCGAGGTCCTGCTTCCACAATTACATGAGAGAGTGTCAACACAACGAATGTCACTTCGCTGAATTCAGGCTTAATTTTCCAATTTCGCTGCTCCTTCTTCGTTAATGTGAATGGAGAAAAGTTCCTTTAGGGCAACTTTCTCATGCCGCAATTTGGCATTTTAATTGTATGGTGGCGGTTGCTCAGACGGCAGAAGTTCCTTTCAATTGGGATATCTTTGAGAGGATCTCAATCCTCAAGAGCCGGAGGCTAGACAGTTCGGGAGGATGCCTTCATTTCTATACCACTCTGAAATTCGGTATCATTGGTGGATACTCGACGAGTAAAGTGCACGAGTGAGACAGGTTTTACTTTTTTGTAAAAAGTAACGAAGCATCCATCGCAAATTACGAAGGTTGTCTATATACCCATATTAGGATCAAGCCATTCATAGTTCTTTACAATTACTAGACGGATGCCAGTTCGGGTCCGAGCTCCCTTTTTTTTTTAAAAAAAAAAGGTAAATGATTCCAAATCTCCTGGTGATCCTAATGCGGTTTCTTGGCATCAGGTGGGGTGGTCGCCGAAGTAAGCCGTACTTTGCGTTTGCTGATGAAGCAGGATCGTGCCATCTGCTGATTGCCATGAAGTGTGAAGATTTCAGAAGAATTAGCGAACTTCATGCATTGGTGGTAAGTTGACATGATGAATTTCATCTCATAAATCCAAAGTGTGCCGATGATGGCGTTGTAGATTGCAGGTTTATCCATGGCGGTAAATTTGACGATCTTGGTTATGCCACCGATGTAAACTGTCAATCTTATGGTTCCGATACTGAAGAAAGATTCACTTGGCAAAACTGGTGAGTGGTTTAGGTGCTGCTTTAGTGTCTTTGTCATAGAGCCCCATTTTGTTTAATGTATCTTTAAAGATGATATTAACCGTGCTTCCGGTGTCAATCAGGATTTTTGCAACTTTTTGTGGATGTGGAATTGATGACTAATGGATTTTTGTATGAGGTGTGAAGACCTCGCATGTCCTTGGCGGTGAAGGTGATTGTTGGTTGATAGTCGACATGGCGGGAGAATTTCTTGGAAGTGATGGCCTTCCTTTCGTACTCCTTAATGGCCCGGACTGAATCGTCATAGTCGGGTAAGCCTCCCATGATCATGTTGATGCGTCATTTGGCTAGTGGGAGCGGGTTATCTTGATCGCGGTCTTCGTTGTCATGCTCTGAACGTGTCTGCTCACTTTTGTCTTCTCATTTTTTAGCGGGCGATCGGATACAGCGTCGTCCTCCTAAGTTACCTCGGCAATTATCCTTGCTTCGATCTCGGCGATCATTGCTAGAAGTAGTTCGATGTTCGTCTTTGTTTGCTGTACTACGTTTGTAGGCGGTCTTACTTTGGGATCGGTCTCCATCGATCTCTATCCCTCCTCTTTTATACTTTTTAAGTAAGGAGTTATGAAGATGAAGGCAAGTTGAAGTGGTGTGCCCTGTACGGCCGTGAAAAGAGCAGTAGAGGTCATAGTTATTGTCACCCTCAGCCAAGGTACTCGGGGTATCACCTTGATTCCACTGGTTCAGGGATTTTTCTCATACTTTCATGATAGTGTGAGAAGATGGCCTGCCTTTGTCTAAACGAGTCTCATGGTCCTTGCTTTTCGAGATTGAGGTTTCTCCGATGCCGTGCTT